ATCTTTTTCCTCTCATCCATAATATGCAATGGGTAAGTAGAATTTCAGATGGACAACAATTCTTCCTTGTATAGATTCTCTCATTCCTAAATCTTACTTATTTCAGTAATATCCAAAATTGCAAGAACTGCTTATTTGAATAATTATTCTATAGTAAAAAGATCTATAAGGACAATGAGGGCAAAATTTAGCATGCTTTTAACTACCCTTGAGCATTATTCATTTTATAAAAGATCTACCATTCTTTTTTAAGAATATGATAAAATTTTCAGACTTTATTTTTATTTTGTTTTACTAACCTTTGGAAAGAGGCCCTGCAAGCAAAAACATTGTTGCTTGCACAGGATAAGCAGAGGACAATATTATTGTTTGTGGGCAGGAGACTGGTAGGACATGTATGTCCCAAGAATAATTTGCAGAAATCTAGAGTGGCTAGTTTGGGTGAAGTCAAGGTTGGTTAACATTGGAAGACAAATGCATTGAATGAGTGTTACAAGACAATGTGGAGACTGTTAGTTTTATTTTTGGGGCTTCTGAAGCTAATAAAAATCCATAAAAAGTCCATAAAAATCCTTATCTATATGGGGTTTGTATAGTGCTAAAACAAAAAGACTCCGCAATATTATATTCCTATGACATCATCATTTATCTAAACTATCAACTACTCAAGGAAGAATGTTTATACTACTTTCTTCCTCCCCCACCTCTAAAACTTTATCCCTTCTTTTGCATTCTAATGTTGCATTTATGCCTTGGAGATGTGGAAATGAGCAACATGATGGATGGATGCAGCTTGCCTGGATTCTCTACCACCATTTCCCTTGGGGCCTTCCAGCTGCTGGCAGAGAGCACCATCCCAGAAGATGGTATCTTTTGCAAACTCGACAGCTAGCAGACAATCACTCTCTCTCTCTCTCTCTCTCTCTCTCTCTCTCTGTGTGTGTGTGTGTGTGTGTGTGTGTGTGTATTTCCCAGCAGAATAAGCTGAATCTGTTTTTTCCCCTTCCCCTGGCATACCTCATGATTGTCTTTCTGACTTGTTGTTTTGAATAAATGCCATAAATACTTTCCATAAAATAAAAATGGGAAGAATGGGAAGCACAAATGAAGCTGGTATTTCATACCCTTGTGATGTTGATAGATTCTAATTTGGAACTGACGTGAGATGTAATTGCTCATTGAGGCTCTCAGTTGCCCTTTAAGGCACTTTCTGCCTTGTTTTGTTAATGAGCTGTGTGGTTACATTCACCCAGCAGTAGATCTCTGATGTGCCAGGCATTTCATGCATTTCAATTTTTAAAATACTGTTAAGAGGTCTGCCATGTTAAATGGTTATCTATCAGAATCAGCTACAGTGTAGAGCTTATGAAAATAAACTGGTCCGAGGAATCCAAGTGACAAACTATTTATATGTGCATTGTGTAAAGCAGGGGTCCCCAACCACCGGTCCGCGGACCGGTACCGGTCCGCGGAACAACTCCTACCGGGCCGCTGGCTTGCTGGGCGCTGCCATCTTTTTTTCATGAAAAAGTGCTTCCGGTCAGCTTTTCCGGGTAGAAAGCTCACCGGAAGCACTTTTTCATCAAAAAAAGATGGCGGCGCCCAGCTGATGCCGGTACCGGGCCGCGGTGTCAAAAAGGTTGGGGATCACTGGTGTAAAGCATTTCTTTGGGAACCAATTGAATGTAGTGGTTTAAGGCATTAGGCCTGAAATTAGGAGACTGTGTATTCTAGTTCTGCCTTAGACATGAAGCCAGTTGGGGGACCCTGAGTCACTCTTTGTCAACCCTGGAAAACAGTCAGTGGCAAACCACTTTTGAAATCTTGCCAAAAAGACTGTAGGGACCAGACAATTGCCAGGAATCAATGTTGACTTGAAGGCACTCCTCCTCCCCTCTACCCACTAAAAATACCCCCTGTATTTCTTTTGGAAGTTGAATTGCTTTTTTATTTTTCACAGTCTCACAAGTGACCGAAAGGGAGCTGTATTGTGTGTATTCTTTTCTTATGCAGTAAAATATTATAAAATTATATGCCTTATATAGAAAATTATAACGGTGAAATAATTGCTTCAAATGGATATTAGTCTATTGTCATGACATATTCGTTTGAGAGATGTTGGCTATTACCAGTCCTCCATGGAGTCCTTGTCTTGCTCAAGTAAGAGACACATCTTTGAAGGTGACTTAGAGAAGGTTGAGGCCTGGTCCTAACATTCTGAAGCCTAAACACTGTCATCTACACTATTCGGCATTGATCTTCGTCCATTTTAATTTCTCACCAGTCATACAGAAACAGATTGGCTTTTGATCTTTTGCCTTTTGCTAGTTTAGACTGTATTAACAAAAACAAACAAAAAGAGAAGGGCAAAACATAGAGAAAAAAAGACATGAATCAAACAAGCACCTCCTCCTGCACAATAAGAAAGAATGTAAAGTTCTCTCCCCTAATTCTATATTTGTAACAGAACAATATAAGGGGAAGTTTTTAGGATGCTGAAATGATGCACTCCTTTTTTCCAAAACAATACTGTTTGTAGGACGGATTTATTCTTTGTTTCTTTTCACCCTTGACCCTGGAGGAGAGAACAGGAAAAGTTATTTACCGGTATGCTCTGAATTTTGGCAGGAAGCATCCAGGGTTGAAATGACAATGTGTGTGAAACAGCATTTGTGTATGGGTGGTGGTGGTGGTGGAATGTGATCAGGTTTCAGTTCTCAAAGCAGAGTGAGATGAGCTTAATAGCTATAAAAATACATAGAAACAGATTTGTTTGTTTTAATACACCAATATTTGAGTGGAAAATTGATAACATTTAATGATATGTTACCAACATTCAAATACAAATTGGTGCTTGGCCATAAAAGGTGACATCCTATTACCTGGTTTAACTCTGGTTATGGCATCTACCCAATTGAGTCTGTGCTCAGTAGCTTAGTAGTGCCTGGGCTAGTTAATAAACCAGAGGCTAGTTAATAATTGGATGGGACATCTGTGGGAATTCCCAGATGTCTAGACTGGAGGAGGAAAAAGACTGGAACATCTTGGAAGAAGATACTATTTTTGTGTCTATAAAGTTACCAAAATTCAAGCCTGACTCAAAGGAGGCCTTTTTTTGGGAAAAAAAAATCCAGTTAACTCCTTCCCACTGAAAAAAGCCCATAAATGTCCTCAGACTCTACTTGCAAAACATTGTGACCCTCCAAAGCAGTTTTGGGAAGCATGAAGGAGAGGGATAGGGAGAGAAAAGTCCTTTGCACAATAGGAATCCAGCTGCAGGCTGTTGAATTTTATCCCAGTTATGGCATTTTAAACTGACTAGAAGAATGCATCAGTACCACCACTACTACCACCATGGCTGGTGACTTTCCCTGGATTATGCTAGTGTGTGCAGGCATTTGTCACAGGAAGCAGGAATTTTTCTCTGTGCGGTACAGTTGCTGTCCTACGTATATATATTTTTTGCAAAGTTTGGGTAGATGGTAGATGAGCTTATTCAGTTTTTGAAGCTGCACATAAATGTTTGTCAGAGAGAGCCATTCAATTCAGGGAACTATTTAATATTGATTTCCAGTGTGGCATTTATTTGGTGTGTGGCACCAAAGGTCTGAAACAGGGTGGGATTTTACCGGTTCGGACTGGTTCTATTGAACTGGTTGTTATGATTCTGCACAGTTCAGAGAACCAGCAAATTGTGCCCCTGGCTTGCCCCTCCCCTCTCTGCCCGTGCCTCCCCTCCCCTCCCCACCCAGTCAGTCCTTATCGCACATGCGCAATATTGTGTGTATGCCCAACATCACTGACTTCCCCGCCTAGTCACTTCTTAAGATATATTTTCCCCTCCCGACTATCAGCTGTTCCTATGATCAGCTGTGCTGGGATTCCCCTTGCTTACTTACTGCTTTGCCCGGGAGGCTTCCCCGAGGACCAGAAGGTCCCAAAATGGAGTGCAGGGGGTTGCTGTGTGGAGCCCCCATGCTCTGTTTTTTTTCCTTCCTGAACCCCAGGAAAGCCTTCTGGGAACAAAAACAACCCCCAGGAGGCTTCCCTGAGGCCTGGAAGGCCCCAAAATGGAGCACGGGGGCTGCTGTGTCCCCCCCATGCTCCATTTTTTCCTTCCTGTGCCCCAGAGAAGCCTTCTGGGAGCAAAAACGCTCCCCTAGAAGGCTTCCCTGAGGCTCAGAAGGCCCCAAAAATGGGATGGGTGTATGCTACCCCTCAAAAGAAACCACACCCACCCAGTCACATGGCCATACCCACCTAGCCATGTCCACAGAATCAGATGTTACAAAATTTGAATCCCATCCCTGGTCTAAAGGATAAGGCTGATTAGGTGATACATTTGGGTATTATTTGGGTAAGAGATTATTTGAGCAAAAGAAAAGTGATGGAATCTTCTGATCATCTAGGCTTCATGTCAAAAGGGATGCTGTATTTTTCATTGTTTGATAATATAAAAAAATAACGTCTCTTTGTGATGAGCTCAATTTCTTGTTATTTTATGGCCATGACCACTCCAAGTTTTCTTGTCAGCAATAACCAAAGTAGTTTGCCATTGGCCATTTCCCAAAATCTTTTTCAATCATTGAATATAGTGTGTATTTCTTAGTATTTCTAGAGCTTTCACCTCCAACTACTAACGAGGTTAAGCTGCTTTATTTGTAGACTAGACAAGATAACCTGATGCCACACCAACTAAGAGCTGTTTCCACATAAAAGCACTTTTCAAATGATCAACTAAACAAATATTTACATTAATGTTTCTTGGAAAAAATTCAGTATTGGTAAGAGATGACAATATTTTACTAGTAAGGCTAGTTCCTGGAGTTCAAATTTGACTTTTGTATATATTAACATGTCAAAATAATGATTGTATCGCTCAATGTTTAAAGACATTTGCTCTTGCTTGTGAATAGACTGAAAATTGTATGATATTCTATCCATCATCTTGTTGCTTACTCTAAGGAAATAATAGTAGCCATTCTTGTTTGATTTATCAGAAGTTGATCTGCCTCTGAAGAAGGATGGCTTCACATCAGAAGGGACCACACTGGAAGCCTTGTTGCGTGGAGAAGGGCTCGAAAAAAAGATAGATACTAAAGAGGAGGATACTCTACAAGAAATCCAGGTAATCTCCTCATATTTTTGGCTCATAAACTGTAAGAAAGTGTGTGCATGTGTAAATAGGCTAATTAATCATTATTTTCAGATTAAATGTGTTGCCTGTAAGAAGATTGCCTGGAGTCCAGATGGATTGAATAAATAAATAGTTCAGAATTTTGTAAAACCATTGCATAAAAAGTGACAGGAACAGAAAGTGTCATTTTGGAGATAGATATTCGTGTTAGCAATAAGCACTTGCAAAACAGATTCCTTCTAGCTGGGAGGTGGAAGAAATATCTTTAGAACAGGGAGGCTTCCATTGTCAACTTACAGCTTCTTTACCACCTTATTTAGCTGTTGCTCTGATGTATTTTTATTTCCAAATTAACCTTTCTAAAGCATGTTTCTTCCATCTGGGACAAAAAAAGCTCACAACTTGAGGTCCTAAGACCACATGAGGTCCTCAGAAGCATTGAACACAGCTGCAGGTGGCACTACAAAAATTGCCAACAAATTTTATTCACCATTCATTCATCCATTTTGCTATATCATCTAGTATGGAAAATGCAGCAAAGAAAAATGATTAAATGAGGAGTAATTATATTAATTGACTGTAATTATACTTCAAAGAATTTACCAATTTATTTTTACATGAATCTATGTGAATCCTTCTCCCCAAATACTTTTTAGAGCACAAATGTTTGCATTCTACTTAATGACCAGCCAAAGAGAAAAAGTGTGCATCCCTGATATAATCAACTCATATTGGCAATAAAATAATATAAGTATTTCTTGGGGAAAAACTTGATTAAATGCACTTGATTTATATTTTTCTTTTCAGTCAAATGGAATATTTAAGGTGGTTTATCATTTATCATTTAAAACACAATTTTTTTTACAAAATTAAAGAATTTATACAAGGAAATGAAAATACCTAGTAATATCATTGCATGTTAAAAGATTGGATAAAGATACTTTTTTCAGATTTTGTAAAGGCATACAATGAAGGCCTTAAAAGAGTTTCTAAGCCCTAAGTAAACTGCAATAGTCAAGATGAGTTGATCCTAAGCCATTAGAATTGTTAATTGCTAGTATTCCAACTAAAGTTGTGTAATTCAACTTCCTGAGAATCCGGTGTCATCTAGGGATAAAATGGCATTCCTAAATTGTGGACTTGGTTTTTTTTTAAACAGACTAATATTCTTATCTAAAGCAATCTGAACTGTGATCTCCATGGCAGTTTACCTATTAACCAACAATACCTCTATCTTTGTCCAAAGTTAACCTTGTACTCTTACTCATCCTCTTGAAATTAGACATTCCGGCTAGTAAACATTTTAGAGGATTGGATGATAATATCACTGTGTGTTCTTACCATACTGATGGTATCTACTTTAATGCTGTGGCTGATATCCCTATGAGTTCCATGTACTTGTTGACATACAGAATCTGTGGTATGAAAAAAATCAGTGGCTTGGGCTTTGAATAATAATTTTCCAACATTACCTTCTGGAAGTGGCCTGAGAGCAAAGATTGGAATTATTTACACGGGGCAGGGGGGAGAGGAAGGGAGAGGAACGGAGAGAGGGAGAGGGAGAGGAAGAGGGAGAGAGAGAGAGAGAGAGAGAGAGAGAGAGATTGTCTCAAAATCACCCAGTTGGCTTCGTGCCTAAGGCAGGACTAGAACTCACTTCTAGTCCTCACTTCTCACTGAGATATTGCATTTATTTTTACTTTAAAGTTAGAAACAAACTACCTCATAATATTCTGAGAGAGAGAAGTAATGTAGGTTAATACTATCAAAAACTGACTAAAAGTTCAAAGGAATGAATGGAGCTATAATGCTCCTATAGAAAGAAACCTACATTTTCCCTCCTATATCCAATTTCTACTTATAAGTTATCCAACAAGACAATGAAGTCTAGGCTACCTATATCCTACTTGAAACTCTGATTCAGATAGGTTCATGTCAAAAGAATCCTTTAAATTGCTCTGGAATTGCCAGGTATAAAATGTTTGAGCCTTTGCCTCAAGTACTGTATCACCTTATGGGTTCCATTTTAAGAAGGAGTCAGACAAACTGAATCAGGTTTTGGAAAAAGCAATTAAGATTGATCAGGGACCAGAAATTAAGTCTTACCTAGAGAGGTTGAAGGGAGAGATAATGTTCACCCTTGACCAAAGGGGATGTATGATAGTACTCTGCAAAACTTAAAAGGATGACGCCTTTTATCCCAGAAAGGGATAAAGGTCTATTCCCTGTCATTTTAAAGGGTGGATCTAAGTTAAATTTAATAGATTTAAGGTATAGAAAGGCAGATTTCAGCTGAATGTCAAAATGGTTTCTAGAATAGTAAAAGCAATTTGAGAGTCTAACCAATCTCTTAGAAAAATGGTGAGCTCCCCTTCATCAAGTTAGGGGTGATTTAATTTGGGTCCCTGTAGAACAGAAGCTTGGACAAATGGCTTCTCCCAGTTCTCTCTTTCTGTGATATATTTTCTTTGCAATTCTGCTAAAAAAAACAAAAAGGTCTTCCATTGCACTGGGATTTGTTTTTAATTATTGTTTATTATTTCAACTCCAGCGGGTTTTGGAAAATGATGAGAATGCAGATGAAGTGAACGAAGAGGAAGAGATAGAAGAAGATATTCCAAAACGAAAAAACAGAGCCCGAGGACGGGTAAGCCGCTTTAGCCTTGAGGGAAGAAGGAGGCGGAAGAGGCCAGAGTAATCCCAATTCTCATTTTTACACATTTTTATATATTGCCCACAGTGGTATGTAGTATGTTCTAAAATGGTAGGATGATCAATTAATCATGTAATTGTGGTAGCTAATTCACATCTGTAAATTCTTTTTTAAAAAATTATTTATTTATTTATTATCTACAACAATTCCATTCATTCCAACTGTGTGTCGATTAGGTACATATTTCAGGTGTTTACAGTTTATAATTAATATTCTTCTTATCAATATAACAATATAACAATAATCACATTTTCATATAAGTAATACCCAATATATCTGTTTTACAATCTTCTGTACAGTATTATCTGTACAGTATACATTTAATCCATTTTAATTTGTTTTATTTTCTGACCATTGGTAAAATAAATCCCATACCATGTAATATTCAAGATTCTTTTTTCCCCCTTTAATTTCCAGTGTTAATCTATTCATTTCTGCACATTTCTGCACATTTGAATTATTTTTTCCCTGTATCAGTATCTTCTGCAAATTCTCTATGGGTGGCTCACTGGTGTTTTTGTTTTTCGCTCTTTGATCTTTAATATAAAGCCATCACAAAGTGAAATGATGTAGAAAGCACCCATATATATATATATATATATATATTATATTATGGCACATAACTTGTACTATTTGCTGCTGGTTTTCTCTCTGTAGATCAACTGAAAGTGTGTGTGTGTGTGTGTGAATTTCCCTTGGCAGTTTCAGGGCAGGGACAAGCTGGCTATTGATCAGTCTTCTCCACATGATGCGCCAGCTGCAGGCTCTCACTAATCAGGTCCCCTGGCAAGAAGCCCACGCAGTAGGCAGGCAGCTCACCTCACCTCGTACTCTTTCTGCTGCTTGGCTGTCTCAGCCCACTGGGGTGAACTGAACTCTCAGAACTGAGTGAAGCCCAGCCCTCCAAAAGTCCCAGGAGTAGCTTTCCAGCAGAGAACTCTTCACCAGGAGCTATTTAGTCCTTCATCATTTTAATAAGATAACAATTAAAACAGTGCATACTGCTAGCTCTCTGCTTTCTAATGTAATCCCAATGGCAGAGAATATGTTCCTTCAGCACACAGAAGAATCCCCTCTCCCTGCATGGAAGAGAGGAGAAATCCTCCGTTCAAGGAAGAATAGATCTCAACTGCAACATCCATTCCACATGCCTTCTCCACTGACTTTTTGGGGTAACCAGCAGTAATGATTGCAAATGATGATCACATGATTGCAGGGCCTTTTGCAACATGTTGTAAATGCAAATAGGCTGCCAAGTTCCTGAAATGCAGTCATGTGAATTGGGCAGGACAGCACAATGGTTTACAATGCCCGGAAGTGTTTTACTGGCCATATAGCACTCATTCTGACGCTTTTGGGACTATGAATGGTTGTAAATCAAGGACTACCCATATGACTTATAGAATGAAGGACATTGCATTCTTGAGTTACTGTTTTGCGCCTAGTCCTAATTGATGGGCCTTGCAGCTTTAAAAGGGGGCAAAGTGACTCAGTGTTTAAAGACACTGAGCTTGTCAGCTGGAAAGCTGACAGCCCAGTTTGAGACCTGAATCCTATGCAATGGGTGAGCTCCCATTACTTACCCCCCTCCTGCCCGCCTAGCATATGAAAGCAGGCAAATGCAAATAGATTAATAGGTACTACTTTGGTGGGGAGGTAAACAGCATTCTGTGCACCGTTAGCATATAGCCATACTGGCCACATGACCATGGAAAATGTCTTCAGAAAACGCTGGCTCCCTTGACCATGAAACGGAGAAGAGCACCATGCCCTAAAGTTGGATATGACTGGACAGGAAAACCTGTTCCTTTATCTGTTGCAGCTTATAAAAAGTAAAGCATCAACTTGCCCACCCTTGCTTTAACGTATTGTAATTCTTTCACATCCATTTCCAAGCTGTACTATCATTTGCTTCAAACACTCTCTCTTCTTGGCATACTTCCAGAACATGTGACTGGCTTATGTACACCGGATTTTGTTCCTAAAATAAATGGGACTTTCTCCTTGTCTGCACTAAGCTGCCATTTGCAATAGATTTTCTGAAGCAATCTGGATCTTCTAAATTATATTTAGGAGGTCGGTTCCTAATCAATTGTTTCAGAGAATTAATAAGAAAGGATCAGTGGTGGGCTGCAACCAGTTTAACAACCAGTTCGGTTCACGCGTGCGTGCAGGGTTAAAAAACCACCCATTTTAAGCTTAAAAACTTACCTTCTATGTCAGCGCTGGTGAGTAAAATAGCTGAGGTGTGGCAATCCGTTGTGCCGCGCGAATCAGCTGAGCTAAAAAAACAGGGAAATATAGGACAGGAAAGGGCAGGGGTGGGTGGATGGGGCCAACTGCTCACCAGAACTACCAGTTCACTAGAACCGGTCTGAACCAGTAGCAGCCCACCACTGGAAAGGATCCAAGGCAGAAATAAGACAGAGAAATGAATGTGCCATGCATTCCAAATTTGTGCAGGTCCCTTTCTTTCTAAAGCATGATTTCATTTTTAATCCTGGATTCCTTCATCTGTCCTCCTGGCAAACATTCCCACTTGGCTGCATTTGAGTGCTCCAAGGCTGCGCCGCTGAAGCTTTTCAGCTGTATGCACCAGTTCTTGCTATACGATGGCAGAAGCTGAAGGCAGCTGTAGATGACTAAATGCCAGACCGAAGCAATGAGAACACGCATGAAGCTCTCAGTTTGTGCTTCAAGGGTAGCTGTCTCTTTGCCAACCCCCGGAGGCCAGGTATAAAATTATCAGAATGTTGATAAAGAGATTTGAAGGCCAAAGACATGTGAATCCACAGAAAGCAATTTAAGAACTTGGATTTATAAAGTGGTGGAACACTAAAATCTGAGACTCTAAAGCACAGATTATACAGATAATGTGGATGTTTTCAATTCATACTTATTTTGTATACTTGATATTTTATACACTTCAGTGAAGATTAGGTGCAGTTGCAAATTATCATGCAAAACAGTATGCATAACACTAATAGTACAATTTCTCAGTGGTAATATAATGTACATAACCCATCAACCACGACTTTGAAAAAAGGAGACATTTAGAAATCAAGGTACATACATGGGACTAGGTATTTTATTTTATTTTATTTTTGCCTCTCTTAATTCTAGCAACACATATTTTAATTTAATTTTAATAAGCCTCATTTCACTAATTCTTTGTAGTCCTTTTGAGAATTTATATAGGATATGAAAGAGTGAACGTTGTTGCTATGTTGCAATTCCCACATGGTCCAAGGCGATGGGGAACAATGAAATGGGAACTTCCCAATTTCCAGCAGCTGCAACTTAGATAGGGAGAAGAGTAGCATAGACATGCTAATGTTATTTGAGGAGCCTGGCAGTACCCAAGCATATTGTTCTACCAATTTATGTGGACCCAAATGCTACATTTTCCCGCCAGAGTCAATGATTAGAAAGATGTGTGCTTCTTCTTCTGCAGAATCTACAAGCAGCTCTTCAACTCAATATCAGAAGTGACTTAATTTAGAAGCTGGTGTTAATTCGTTAATCTGCTCAAGGGCAGCTTTTCTCATGAATGTGTAATAATAATGATGACAAGGCAGAAAGCTCATTGTATGATTTGTGAAATTATTTTGAGTTTTAGTGTTTTGGGATAGCTATAAGCATAGTTTTTGCATTAATACCTTGGTTTCATTCTAGGCCCGAGGCTCCGGTGGTGGTAGGCGAAGGAATGATGTTTCTTCTATGGATGACCAAGATAAACCTTATGTTTGTGACAGTAAGTAATCTCCAGACTTTCACTCAGCTTTTTCAAACGTAATTTTTACCGATAATTTGATTACAGTAGTAAAAAACCAATACAAACTACACTTAGAGAAAAAGAAGTGAATAGAAAAAAGAATAAAAAGTGCAGAAAAAGAAAAAGAAAGAAGAAAAAGAAAATGAATATATAAAGAAGTGACCTCCAACCTTTATCACAACCAATAGAAGTAAATTCAGTAACTTTCTGCCTTCTCTTTATATACAGGCTTCCTCTTCTTCCTATATCCCAACTCTTGTCCATAAACAAATCTGTAAGGCCTCATTATTTCAATCCTGATTTCAGCAAAAGTCCATTAAGGGTTACCTAAAAAGTTTTATTTTAACCTTGGTCAAAAAAACCCCCAATCTTATATTCCTTGCTTCTAATAATCTTGATCCTTTGATTCCTTAAAATAACTTGATTTATTTTCATTGTTTCTTTGTATCTTCTCACAAAATTGTAATTGTAAAGTTTTAACAAGTCTCTTTTGTAAATCCAATGTAGGAAGAATCTTTAAGTCATTCTCTTGATTTATTATTTGTGTATCCCTTTTAATAATTAAGACATCAGCCATTTTCTATTGTATATCTAGTGTAGCTTCTTTTTCCATATTATTCTTGCAGCTTGTCATTTGTAAATCCACTTTCAGAACAGACACAATCTTTTTAGGTAAAATTTGTTCCTCTTTCACAACATTTTTAAACACAGTCTACCTATAAAATTAACTTCTGGATCCCATGGGAAGGATTCTTTATAATTAAACAATTATAAAAAATATAATTTCAAATTTATCTGGATCCTTATGTTTGTTTGTAACTTTCTAAAATCTAAATCTAAATCCCACTTTTGCCTTCCCTTGTTTTTTAGGTCCTTAAACTTGTATTTAAAACTTCTTAAGGGTTGAAGGAATGTCATCTAAAACTTGTCAAGCCAAAGATTCTGATTAACTGAAACAAGCTGAAAGTAACTAGAAAACAAAGTATGTAAATCTAATGTCCTTTCAAAGGCACAAACCAATGTTTGAGCTATATGGTTTGTCTCCCAGAGCCCTATACCCATTGGAGAATATTATCTTGTGGTCTAGAGCCCTTATGAGAGATATCAAGTCCCCCCTTTGTCCACAAAGGAATTATTAAAGAGCTGGTCTATTCCTTAGTTCTTCGTTTTGCCTCTGTTTTTCATGGAGCCATCTTCAGTCTATCGTTTCTTCCTTGGAAGTATACTTATTTTTCTACTATGATTTAGAATCTTATGATTTAGAATTTATATTCTTGTTGATGCAAGTGAAATTTTCATTTGCTTCATGTTCAATTTGGGTTCAAGCGCTATTCATTTACTTATTGATTCTTAAGTGAAGACACTTGCTTTTTTGTGCTAAAATTCATTCTGTTATTTTCAAATCATTTATCTAGCTTATCAAAATTCTTTGCAATTTTATTTCTGTTTTTAGGGTATTAGTTAACACACTAATTTTGTGTAATCTATAGATTTCATTAATATGCCCTCATCTTTTCATCTATGTCATTAATTTAAAAAATGTTTAAAAACACAAAGTCCAGGACAAAACATTGTCATTTCCCAGTACCTCCTTCCTATTTGATAAGAAACTATTGATGAGCACTTTTTAAGTGTATCTTTCAACCAGTTATGTATTCATTTAATGTCAATGCCATAACATTTGGCATAATAGTAGTTTGCTACACAGAATATGATGGGATACTTTGCCAAATGCTGAAATCTCAGCATTACATTTACAGCATTCTCATAATCTACTAAGGAAGTTCTACATCAAAAACTTGAAATGAATTTAGTCGGCAATATTTGTTCTTGACAATTCCATGTTAATTTTTGCCAATCACCATATTATTTTCAAGGTATTTACATATCAAATTCTAGAATTTATCCAGGTTTTAGTATTACATAGAGTTTACTGTAGTTCTCTTAAACTAACTTTCTTTCTTTCTTTCTTTCTTTCTTTCTTTCTTTCTTTCTTTCTT